CAAGCACATCATCCCAGTGTGTTATCCACAAATTATATCCCAAAAGGATCTATAAAGAAATCCCATAGCTGAAGAAATCCAATATAGAAAGAAATCTATTTCAGATCAAAAAGATGTGGATAAATCCTAATTAAAACACTGATTCCCATTGGTCAGCAAAAAGTACCTTAAAGGCAACCTTCCAATAGCCCGTTGAGGGGGAGGGGGTTGGTTATCTGTGAAGTAACTTTTGCTGGTCAACCTCCTATTTTCTGAATTGTTCAGGCAAGTAGAATTCATCAGCATCCCCACCATATGTTCATAACCAATGGCTTTGCTATTACCAACCAAGAGATGATGCACTGATATGATCTCTTCAAATGTGTCATAATGATAATGTGGTGGGTTTGGGTGCTATATCTTTGTTAGATTATCATGCAATAAGGACAATGTAAAACAAACATTATGTTGGCTTTTGAAATTTATAATAAAACAGTTATGATTTTTTAACTGATTTAAGGTGTTGGGGTTTTATTTTGAGTACCCATAGAGTTCCTCTGTTTTTTAAAATCTTGTCCACTTTTCTCAGCTGTTGATCCTTAAAATCACCTCTGAATTCATGCTGACACTGTCCTTCCTTCTTGAGGGTGGCCACTTTAGTTTCCCATGGTCCCTGTGTGTGTAGTAAAGTAGCCACCGATCCAAGCTCACTCCTGTGATGGACTACAATCTCACGTTTAGTTTACTAATTTGTATTGAGATTGTAGTTAATCACGGGGGCGAGCTTGGAATGGTGGCTACTTTACAACACACACGGTCACCATGGGGAACAAATTTAGCCACCCTCCAGAAGGAAGGACAGTGCCAGCACCAATTCAGAGATTATTTGAGGCACTACAGCTGAGTGATACATACATAAGCTACATTGTGCTTTAAATTACAACTACAGCCAGCTATGAATAGAGTGAGGAAATTTAGAACCCTGTCAGCTTTTTACTGCTATCTGGGAAATTTCTCCTAACTTGTCTATATAAGGCAGACGAGGAAGTGACAGAACATCTCAGCTCTTCCTAAATATTTGGCAGGGGTCAGGCAGGACACGAGTGAGGGAAAATCTCCCCACTTCCTGTTCATTTTGTAGGAGGTAGAGAAAACAGAAAAATAGGGATAACCCCCCTAGCAATGACACAGGCAACAACTAAAGTACATTTTCCAGTAGAGAAAGTTAACTGTTGAACTTATTTTAGGAATGTATTGCTGTCTCTGTGCCCATAAGCAAAAATTGCCCTTAATTTTCTGTCTAGACAACGGGTGTCAAATAGAACAGAAAAGGAAATCCCCTCTACGGGGACACAGACAGCATTTAAAATCTAACAGAAGCATCTCCAAAACAGCAGCAATGTTAGAGTGATTCTCCTGACCTCCTGTTCTAGGGAATACACAGAAAGCAAAAGGATATTTCCTCTGTGTTGATAGACACTATCCATTCCCCACACTAACCAAATCTAAAAAAAAAACTTTGGCTGGAGTTCCAGTTTATGCTGAATGAAGTTTATGTGAAATTTAAGAAACTGTGGTGAATATAACACATAGTTAACTTACAATACACAAGTAAACCTGCGACTGATGAAAAATAAGGCTAAAACAGCTCTGCAGTAATAAATGATCAGATACTTTACAGCTGCAACCTGTAGGCTACAACGAGTCAGTGCCAAGTAATGTTCTATAACTAATTATGCCTACAAATATAATGGCTCATAGAGAATCTGAAATCACAGTGGCATTAGTGCATAAATGTTTACTAATGACTGTATTTCCCTCTCCAGTGCCATGAGCCACAAACAAGGTAGATAAAAAAATAAAACCAATGATTAGGCCCTATAAGATATGGTTTAACTTGTTTTTTTCTTACCCCAGCCCAGACATAGGAAACGTTTACGGACCAGACGTGTTCTCATTTGCCCAATGACGGCTAAGTAGGATTGCCAGGCCTCGGTCAGTACCCAACAGAATGATGAGAGAAAGAAAAAGTGCAAGAAAGCAGCAATGAGAGCACAGACAGCCTGCAGAGAAAAAGATCCTTGGGTTAGATGAGGGAACCACAGTAGCCGGTTGCAATATGATCAGACACCAGCAAAGTCAGTGTTATGGCTGCAGCTATAGCAGAGTTTGCTTTAGTCCCAAAGGCATTGGCAAGTTAACCATTTAGTTTCTGGATAAGGCAGCTGTTGAGGATCCCAACCATGAATACTATGTAGCATCAGCACTATTGCTTCAGTGAATTACAATTAAGAATCTAAAATGGCAGATACCACCACAACACTAACTGTGTAGCTCACTTAAAGTGACACTAAACTCCAGAGTTAAATCTTAAAAATGCATTCAAGTACTTTAGCTATTAACAAAAATTTATCTTATTTGTGTATTTCTCAGCTAGCACTGACACTGTCCTTCCTTCTAGAGGTTGGCTACTTTTGTTCTCAAGGGTCCCTGTGTGTGCTGTAAAGTAGCCACTGCTGCAAGCTCGCTCCTGTGAAGGACTACAGTCTCACATTTAGTTTACAAGTTTGTATTGAGATTACTGTCCATCACAGGAGTGGTGGCTGCTTTACAACACACAGGGACCATGGGAAACAAAAGTAGCCACCCTCCAGAAGGAAGGACAGTGTCAACACCAATTCAAAGATGATCTGAGGATCAACAGCTGAGTGATACACAAATAAGATACATTTTGGTTAATCGTTAAGATACTTGAATGTATTTTTAAGATTTAACTCTGTTTAGTGACACTTTAAAGTAGATGAAAAATCTAACAGCATGACACTTAGTTTGCTAAAGCACTGTGTATCAACTGCCTTTTTAAAAATACACTTTTTTCATCCTTTGTTCAATCCCAGTGCTTCTGATCTCCTGCAACCTGTTTGCAACACTTCCTGTCAATATGCTGCACTCCAGTGATAGCTGCATGGCATTTCTCAGAGTGGTCCATGCCTAGTTAATATGTGATAAAACTGGCACTTGAAGTCTCCATTGGAAGCCCCGAAGACGTTGTACAGGAGCACAATTGGGAGCCAAGGATAGAGTGTTATCACCCAAAAGTGCCTAATCATGAACCTTTATGGCAGGATCACCAGGTATTATTTTAATGAAACATTGACAATAACTTTTGAAATTACATTACCATGTTAAAAAAATATTAAATGAGATTTGGGTGATTGGGTGTGCATATACTTTAAGAAATGAAATATTCTCCAGTGGGCAATTGTTGGTGTGGAGGGGTGAAAATGTTTTCCCTTCCTTAGGTGAAAGATTGACCCTCCTCAGTCATATAAATGAAGATTGTCATGGGTGGAATAACAGAATAGGTAAGAAAATATAAATGATAGCATACTTTTTTACATCTTTTGTGAAAGAGCTGCCCCTCCACTACCATCACCTTAGTGTTGGCTGTGCTACTGCAATCTTTACTATTTATCAAACTTTATGACTAAAACAATACTTTTATTTCAGCTCTAAATCACTAATTATAGATACATTTATAGCTAGGGCATCTTGGTGGTTAATGAATGAAAGATGCAGAGAAGTGAACAAATGCATGCAGTAAGCTAGTGACATACTGTATAATATACAAAGGAAATACATACAGTGACCGATCTCTTCTTACCACCATTACTAACTTGTCTGTGCCTAGTTTCTATTGTGCCAGCCCTGTTCCTACTTAACTGTGATTTTCTTGAACAATTCCATTAATCTGCCCTTCTTTAGGTGAAATAAAAAATAAATAAAAAAAATACACCTTTGACACACCACCACCCACCACTTCATTCCTACATTGATCCCTCTTCCAATCTCCCCTCTTTCCCCAGTATTGCTGGTCTACTGTATAACTGGCAGAATATTACTGAGCATGTAACTTAATAGAGGTATTGATTAAAGCATTGGAGGGAAGGAATGAAATCAGACACAGCACACAGTGATATCTTACACCAACGTGCGTAGGATGTATTAGGAGGAAGCAGTGCAGATGTAAAGTGGGGGCTTGAAGCACAAATTATTTGTAAGCTGTTTCCGGGCACAAGTAACAATGTGATAATTGTACCAAGCTGAGCGTGTTGATAACGTGATACTATTTTTAACTCCAATCCACACTCTTTTGAACGTACTACATTCTGTATGCAAAAAATGTATACGTGCTCACATATTTTAAAATTGCTTCTATTCTTCACATTAAACTCTGCAACAGATGCATCTTATAATTCTGGTAAGGGGTAAAGGAGAGCAGTCCAATAACTATGATTTTTTTAGATACCCGTGAAGCTGCTCAAACACATTATCAATCAGATGTAAGCAATCAATCCAGCTCTTAATAACCTTTTTCCCTAGCACAGACATTAACATGAAAAATCATATCCTGGAAATGTATCTAAAATCTAAATGCAAGAAATCTGAAGTACCAACATTCTTTTTATGGGCGACTTTGAGACTGCTGACCAAAGATTGCTGACCAAAAATACTCTTGTAGCCAAAAGCCTTCTTCCCTGACAGAAGTAGTGGCATTAGATACCATTGTAAACATATCAAGTGGGGTCTTATCATGTAAGAAATAGCAATTTTATATGATGCACTGCTCATGCCTATGGTAAACATTTGCTACTGTTCCTCTTATTTGTAATCCTACAACATAGCTGTCCATGTCCATTTTCTGTTTATTGGCTAAGATTTAAAAAAGGCACCATCATTGTGTTTAGTAACAAAAGCTTTACTAAGATGACCACAAGTGTAAAACTTTAGGAGGGTTCAGATCAAAGTAGACAAGGTATAAAACACGTTGCTGACCTTGCTGAGTGCCTGGGACTGTCCCACCAGAATCAGAACATTGGAGGCAAGGATGGACAAACAGAAATTGAGCAGAATGATGGAGCGCTCGGAACGAATGAATCTGAAGAAGAAAATAAATTAGGACTATCACCTATTCAGAGTGATACATATGGAAGAATACATAGAATAGTCAATATTGTAACTGTACCCAAATGTGTCAAGCTGCACAGACAACACAATAGATCCCAATTACTAGCTATAAAATGTAAGTGACATTTTGCTATGTGCCTGTATTTCCAAGAATTGTGAAAATTTTAGCGTGTCTGGTCTGCCAGCAGCCAGAAACAAGGGCACTTGCCTGTAAAGTGGGGAGAAAACATTGATACACAAGTATGACTTCATATTTAATTCTTGGCTTACAACACACCTGTCAATACTACTAACAAATAACACCAACGTTGCCAGCCACCATGTGCCTATTTGTGGATGTGATTTTCCAAAATGCTGCTGCAAGGAGTCCCAAAAGCCAAGGGACCTGCAGTATGCAACTTTCCACCATCTTAGTCATGATGGCACAGAGAAACCTTACCACATCCCATAATGTATATGCAAGGACATTCCCTATAGGTTGTGAACTGCATTGTGGGATCTGCTAAGGATGTGCTTCAGTGCTAATTTTTTTTTAAATGTGAATACTAAGGCTCCCTGGTTTTAGGGGGCTCCCAGGATGTATTGCAGCATTTTGGAAAATATAACCTACGGTATGAATTGTTTCTAGGTGGTGCCTAGTAATGTCTGGCAAGGTTATTATATTTGTTAAAGTCTAACTACAGCGCAAACATTTTTTAATTTTGTTGTGAATAGAGTGGGGATACTTAAAATTTTGGTCAGGATTTAATTCCAGTCTGTGACCCCACTACCTGTCCCAGTGACATCTGTACAATAAATAGAGGTTGTGGTCATCACTGAGACAGGTACTAGAACCAGCAGTAGAAGCAATGTCAGAAGTTTTAACCCTTCCTCACTCTATTAAAATTGTGTTTCTATTTTCCAATGTCCCTGTTGATTTTTCATCATTTCCTACCGGACTAGATACTTTACCTTTTAAATACAGAACCTGAACATATTTTGATCTGTCTAAACTGTCTAGATTTAAAACAATAAATCTTCTAAAATTGGTGTTAAATATTGCTTTTTGGTGTATACTGATCTGAATATATTGACTCAGGATCTTGGAAATCAAACAACATATAGATGTCATGTACTTGCATGCATGCTTGAAGGAAAGGAAAAATCTAATTGGCTACTTAAGGAAACACCTCTACTTTTTTTTTGCTCTAGATTAGCCTTTCACTTAATTTTAACCCCAAAGGAACCCCTAAAATAATTTTCAGGTCCCGGAGAGGTCAATGGCAAAAATTCCTCTTACATTGGTGCTAGAATTGGTGGAAGAATGCCCCCCTTACAGTGGTGGTCAGAATTCCATGTCAACTAGACATGTGCACTGCCAAAAAATTCGTTTCGTTTTAAATTCGTATTTGTGTTATTTCGTTTTTCGGGATTCGGGTGTGAAAGTCAATTCGGATTCGGACGAAATTCGGTAGCGTTAGTACGAACGTTCGTTTCGTTTTCTATTCGTTTCTTATTCGTTTCTTATTCGTTTCGTTCGTTTGCAGCAAAAGTGACATTTGAGGGGGGAAAAAATATTTTTTCTCCTTCTCTAATGTCACTTTGCTCCAACGAACGAAACGAATAAGAACAGAAAACGAAACGAACGTTCGTGCCAACGCTACCAAATTTCGGAAATGGAAATTCGGATTCGTTTGCATTCGTTATGTCTGTAATTCGGAATTCGGATACATCCGAATGTCTGAATTTACGAAAATTCGTCCGAATTTCGATTCGGAACTAAACGAATCGCACATGTCTAATGTCAACTATGCAGGCACCATAAAAAAAAAGGTCACTAAGCCAGAGCTCAAAGAACCACAAACAATCTCTGGGGAACCCTGGTTAAGAATGACTGACCTACATGGATGTACCTGGGTCTGCTTGTACTACTACAAACTGTTTTGTAAAACCTTGCCACCCAAAATGCACAATATCAAGTTTTTCTTTTCCATAAATAGTTTTATATTCACTGACAATATACATTTAAATTTGCTAGAAATGTTTACCCGTTAGTGTCCTAGACAGTCCCCTTCCCCTTGTATGCCACAGCTCTCTGCCTAATTACCCACCCTTCACCTCCCTACATAAACATTTATGTAGCTGTCCAGAGAGAAGTGAAGAGGAACACACACTACAGAGTGTCAGGTGAGTGACAGTTCTGAGTCTGTGGGGCTACTGACATCAAATCCAAAATGGCAGGGCAAAGCAGCTGTCTCAGTGCTCTCATATGTCTGCACAAGTGAGTTTTTTTTAGAGGAAATTAACATATATAAAATATGTTAAGTTAGGATACAATCTTTGTTTAAATTAATGCTCCTGTGATAGGGTCTCTTTAATGTGAACTAAAACTCTCTCGCACTCATTTTATGAACATATCCATAAGTACAGTAAATCTAAAATTGGCATTGTAAAGGATCAAAATCACAACAACAATACCTCCAAAATGCAGCATAAACAGCAAGGAGTATGAGTAAAGCCATGCACGAGACAGCACAGCCAATCATCAGGGGGACTGATGGAGAGCCAGAGACATCCATCACCTGCTGAGACAGCAAAGTGTCAGCTCTTTGGAAAAAAGTGCCCACAATATAAATATGCCTTGATTACCGGATAACCAATCAATGTCAGTTCATTGTCAGACTGAAATACAGCCAGGAATGCCCTCAGATATGTTGGTTTTCATTGCTGGATGCTGACTAGTCAAATACAGGATTCGGTTACATGTTGATCTGAATTCTTCAATCAATGAGCTCAATTAAATCATAAGGATTTGTTCTTCTTAATCTATATTGTGATTTGTTTCATATTTTGATCAGCAAAACCAAAATATCATGTTCATAAAACATATTGATGTTAACAGAGTTAAGGTGGATGGTAGCGAAAATGAGAACAAGATAGATAGATAGATAGATAGATAGATAAATAGATAGATATTGTTTAATACAATTAACTTTCACTGAACTGTATAAATACAGAAAATGTGTTCAACAAGATAAGGAGAGAGACATAATTCACACTTAGCCATTGTAGAAATACAGCCTACAGAACAATAATAGCTAGGATATGAACCAGCTGCATGCCACGTAGTAATTCAGAATATGAAATGTCATATTCCTGATGTTTTAAATAAATTCGTTTTTGCACAGCATGACACATACTACCCCTCCTCTCTCTCATATATACCCACCCCTCTGCTCTGTATACAGAGAGCTGCGTACATACTGATAACACCTAACTGCCAAATTTGGAATATTATTCTTTGCAGCAGTGGGGAGGAGGGGGGGGCAGCAGGGGGAGGCAGAAGAGGAACAGATTTTGTACTTGCTTTGCCATTACTGACTTATATTGCATAGGGAAGAAATGATAAACTAACTTACTGTAAGAATTAAATCATCCCTTCATTGTAAGATTTCACGATAATCTGTGTTACCAATCTGGCACACATTTTATAAGCATTCTTAAAAGGGCATCTTTAACCTACACTTTGGGGTGGAGGGTGAGTAGTCACAGAAATCCTGAATATATTACTAACCAATGCCATTGAAACTCTATGACATACCTAGTGTTACTGGCATGTTGTGTCTGAAGTTTTACTTATACTACCTCTAATCAGATACAGCAAATGCAATAATGCATTCTGGTGATTTAAAGGACTACTATTGAGAAAAATATTGTACTCCGCCAGGTGTGCGTGAGCATTTGTAGAAACAGATGATGATCAAATATGGCTACTGATTGCACCCCTGACAGTGTCATAGTTTGCCCCAATCTTTTTTTAATGTCACTTTGGCTAGGCAGCTAAGTCTTCGTGTAAGTACAAAGAACACTTTTAGAAAAAAAAATGAATTAGTATACTAATTACAATTATCACATATCAATCACATATGGTTATCAGAATAGAATATGTTTTTTTCCTTTTCAATAGATACATGCAGATTTGTTCACTCTGCCAAAAATTGTACAATACATGAACCACGATTGTCTGAATTCTCTACTTGCATAATTCTCTGCAGATTAAGAATTAAGACAAACAAAAAGTGCTAAATTAGCAATTCTCCTAATTTTACCATCACTATATTATAGCCACGCAACATATTGCACCTTGCTAACTGTCAATCAGACAAGCAGTAAAGGTTTGAAATTCAGGTACTATATAATCTCCTGTACAGACAGAGTGGATACCTTTCCACTTAAGTGCTCTTTACCTTTATTCATATATACCCTGGTAATAACATGTATGTAACCCTAAAGGGAAAGTCAGTTGCATCTGCATGCAGTGCACAAGGTTGTCAATTACCCCACTCAAGCAGAGGGAAACACAGAAAGTCCTGCTGCTAAACATTGTACAGACATTTTTTCTAAAGGGCCTCATTAATTATCCTAACGATACATTCTTATATTTTACAAAAACTGGAAAAGAAATACATAAAAACATAACAAGCCGCCAATGTAAATGTACTATGGCCTCTTCCGGAATCCTCATGAGTCCTCAAACTCCATGTAAAACAAAGCTACTGCGTGGGTACCATATATGTCATTATAAACCAAAAGAATCATATGCAATGACAGGCCACGCATTCTCATTTCTGGATTTACATTATGGACCTTACAAGAACCCATGTTACCCAGTTGCGAGTATCATTTATGTTAAAAAATGTATTTATGTTCATTTCATTTATGTATGTATAAAAAAAGCACAATTCATGTCAGCAATGACAGATCAGGAAGGCATAGGCAAAAGAAGGTAACTGAATGGCCATCAACCACTCTGCGGAGTAACTATGCATTCCGACAGAAATACTTTTTAATGGAATTTCATTCCAGAAAACAATGCAGGATCTTCATTCATACCCAACTGACGTCATTTTTATGAGTAGTCATATAACACCATGCATCGCACATACGAGTCAAATACAGCCCCAATTACAAACTAAGTGATTATCTTTCAAATATATGATAATGAGAAGTTATGGTGGCCATAGTACAGTGCCAAAGGATAAATCTGGTCACTTTAAAGTAAAGCTTTAGTTATAGGTGGAGTCTGATGCCTAGATTTAGCTGCTGGTTTCGATTATCTCTTTAAATCTCCAGAGATGAAAGTACTCTACCATAGGTTCAAGTTGTGTCCCTGTCCACCCTGGAGTTTCACTCCTGAAGCTTTGCTCATAACATAAAATTTATTCTTCATTATATGATAACTACATAAGATTTGAGGAACGATGGAGACCGTGGAGGAAATATACTAGATCGATGAAGGTGTAGACATATTCTTAGAGACCATTTATTAAGAAGTGAGAATTAAGATCCTGATTTTTTTTTTGTGGGGGGGATGGGAAGGGTATGGAAGGTGTATTGTTTTATATTCATAGATTTGAATTAACTATTAAGATTGTGTGCATGATTGTGGAATGGGTTATTTCAGTGATGCTATAAGGAATTGTTTGTAAGATTTTAATGTATTTATGTGAAGTCATTTGAAAATTATTAAATAAATATTACTTAAAAAAACATAAAATGAATTCAAGATCCAGCAGGTAGGGTGGGACCCACTCTCAATGGCTGTGCTGGTCATATAGACCTGAAAACTTAACTGCAAAAGTTTCACCACCTAGGTAATTTAAGGCTCCAGAATCAACCAGTAACCATAAAATCAATTTTGGGTGGACTGGCCCTTTAAGCAGACCTGTAAGTATTAAGAGAGTACAAACTCACACAAGAAAACCATACATAGCAAGTCATAATAGACAATAACATCAATACATTTGCTGCCTAACACCAAGCTCACTAGCAGTAACAGCAAGGCCTATAATACTCGAGTCCTGTGTATGGCTAAAGACAGCATCTAATATAGCCCAGGTACACAACATTCAGTGACAATCTGGCCTGGGTAATTAAAGTAAGCTTCACAAAACTTACCATTTCCTTGGGTAGTTGCGCCAAAACAGCAAAGGTGGAGAGCTGGTCGCAAAGGCATTTGGTATGAGATGGGTGGGTTGGCAGTGTCTGACAGCTATCGGTGTCCCAGCTCCCACTGGATGCATCACTGGGGATCACAAACAGATAAATGAAGGCACAAAGTGCACATTGTAAAGCAGACCTGGCAGTGATAACATATTGCAGGGGAAATAAAAAAGGGTACTAGGAATGCTGAGCATATGCAGAACAGGCTCAGCCAGCCTGCATCTCCTGGCTGGGATCTTGACTATGTGTGCATGTGTGTGTATGTGTGTGTGGGAGAAACCCAGTGAGAAAAGTGAGGCAGAGAGCGAAGGAGTGTGGGGGAGACACAGAAAGACAAAATGAGGGGGAGAAACAATAGAGAAAAAAGATACAGAAGAGGTAAACAAGTGGAAGGTGTAAAGGGGTTTGAAACATGACGAAGAATATTTGCAATATTGCTTGTAAGGATAGTAGATTAGTAAAAGGTACAGTGCAAAGACAGGCAGGCATATTCATAAACACTAGCTGAAAGGAGTAGTGGCATTGAAACAGTGAGCAAAGGCTAAGATATAGTGAGCATAAGCAATACAGGAGAGATGGAGCTATGCCGCAAGGCATTATTCACAAGGGATTATAGATGAAGAAGTGAAGATGAGAGAAAGAAAAGCAAATGGAGTAAAGAGCAGAGAAAGAATAGAAGAGAGCAATTGGCACACAGTACACATGATTAGCAGCCTGTAGGTTCAAAAGAGTTTTCTGTGGTTTTGTCTCAGATTATGACAGTTTGCACTCCTGCTCTCTGTGCTGGGCTGTCATGTATTGTGCAATCTCCCCTAAAGCCACAGTCACTGTAGTAAAGCATGATTAGTTAATTCTATCTTCCCTAGGTGAAAGGTTCCATTTACATTCACAGGTAAAAAGTTGCACCATCTAGGCGACAGAATATACAAGAACACCTGTTTTTTTTTCAATGCACATTCTATGCAGTGCAACATTTACTGAATTGTATCTTTAACACTAGCATCGCCTAATATAACTACCGATGAACTGAGCCCCAAGATCTCTTTTGCATTTTCACATGCTATTTTAAGGACTCTTGTCAGAAAGCTGTCAGCTGCCTATACGAAGAGAGGAAATACAACCCAGGCATACATCACTAGACCTCTCACCAGTCATCCACGTTACTCTGGCAACCATAGCAGATGGAATGTTATAATAAAACATGGCAAGAATAAGGACTTCGGAAGGGTTCTTACACTACTGCTCACACACCCACACAAACGCACACACCTCCGCACTCCGCACAAAGATAAAGGGAAACAGCAGATACCCACAAAGCACACACACATTGGAAGACATACCTGCACACTTAATGATACATACAGTCTCCATTTCTAGGTCCACGTCTTACTAGTTAGAGAGGCCTCATTAATTAGTCTCCAGTGTCCACAGACCTTTTCATATGTGAGTTGACTGATGCACAGGGCTTTCTCTCTCCCTCTCTGTGCTGTGGGAGCCTGCTGCTGGGTGAAAAGGCTGACTACTAACAGAATATGATGTGCTGGCGGTATGTTTTAGGGAAGCCATTAGGGGGCATCCTGTTAGTCAGGAACTGACATGAGTATAGTTAGTGGCTCAGACAAGCAGATGTTTTGCTTGTTTAATGCTATGAATTTGCTGCACAAAGTCCTCCTGCACGGAAGCTGTGTTTGTTTTCTGCCTTACTGAATAAATGAACAGGACACATTTGTTTGTTGTCTAGGTGCACTATCTCTTGCATGATTTACTGCTGCCAATACCAGTTGAACTTCTTCCCCTTACAACTTAGTGCTCGGGTGCAGGCAGTGCATTAAAAAGGCCTCATTCACATTGCTTAGAGTCGGTCCGTACAGATCCATGCAGCATGCACGGCTGTATCGAGCTGTTCCCGGGAAGGACAGGTCCTGCGTGTGATTGTATGCACCAGCCTGTTCTTTCCTATGGGAGGACGCGGCTGTACGCCGCCATACACTCACCCGAACTGCACATCCGTGCGGGTGTCTGTGCTTGGACGTAGGCAGGATCCATCCTGTCTGCGTACGAGTACGGACACATGCGCCCGCATGGATGTGCAGCTCGGGTAAGTGTACGGCCATGTCCTCCCACAGAGAAGAACAGGCTGCTGCGCACAATCACACGCAGCACCTGTCCTTCCCGGGAACGGCCCGATACGGCCATGCACGCCACATGGATCTGTACGGGCCGACTTTAAGCAGTGTGACTAAGGCCAAAGACAGAGATCAACTGTTGAGTAAAATGGAGGAGCTTGTAAAACAACTTTTATCGCCAAATGCTAGCCAGCAGCAGACTAACCAGCTACTGCAAGAGGGAAACTGCTTAACAGCCCGACAGATGTGGCAACCCTCAGAAGCTCACTAGGCATCCTTGTAAGAACAGCAAGTGAAACTGTCCTGAGAGCAGCAGGGGCAGGCCCGGTCAGAGAGACAGATGGGGAACAGGGAACGACGGTTGCACCTCAACAGCTGGTTAAGAGCATTTTACGGAAATTGTTCCTGTATGATGACATTGAAGCTTATGCTGTGATCTTTAAGAGAGAGTTCCGTAAAGCGAGAAGCTACCAGGAGCAGCGGGTAGATGTGCTAATTCCCTTTTTAAAGGGGAGCAACAAAAATGCCTTTGATTTTTCAGCCCGGAAGGGTGTCAAGGAGTATTCTAAACTCTATGGCCATCAGCATGCAGCCTGTATTCACATGAGAATATGATGCTGGAAACCCTGCAAGGTCTAAGATATGTGATTGGCTCCATCTTACAAACACATGGTTGCAAGCCTAGATGCTAGACCCTGCTTAGAATGTGGAGTGGGTGGTCTGTGACTATTACATCAGAAACTTGCCAGTTAAGATTCAGCAGGATTGTGGATATGTGTCATCTAGGTGTTTCACCTATACATGGTGAGGGGCTCCAGAGTTTGTGTCTGATATGGAGAAAACTAAGTTTTTTCTTAAAGTGACATTAAACCCTCAGATTTTTTAACATAAACCAATACTGTAATGTGTGCCTTACTGTAATCCATGGTAGTTTCCCTTCTCTTTGCTGCTCTTCCTTTTAAATCTGTATCTCTTCTCATGCTGGGGGAGAACTTCCCTTTGCAGCTGAGTGCCTCTCCCTGTAGTGCTGGCTCAGGTTGCAAACCTACACACAGACACCGTGTATCCATTTCAGAGACAAGGCAGTCTGCTGCAAAACAGAAGTTCTGCCCAGCATGAGAACAGATACAGATTTAAAAGGAAGGGCAGCAAAGAGAAGGGAAACAACCATGGATTACAGTAAGGCACACATTACAGTATTGTTTTATGTTAAAAAATCTGAGGGTTTATTGTCACTTTAAGCAATTCATAATTTATGTTCTGGGTCCTGGAGCCAGAGGCTTTGTAGAGCTTAGGGCCAGAAAAATCTCCATTACTAGGTCCACGTCTTACCAGGTAGAAAGACCTTATTAACTAGTCTCAGCTGTTCACAGACCTTTTTATATGTGAAATGACTGCTGCTCAGGGCTTTGTCTCTCCCTCTCTCTCTGCTGCTGTGTTGAATGGCTAGCCTGTTTTGTTAGCAGCAAAATTCCAATGATCGTCTCTTATTATATACTAAGCAACCATGTCATTATGGCAGAGCTATTGAGTGGGGTTGGGGAAATGCGTTCACCAGTCAGGTTGGATCTTCATTTTTTTTAATGGGAACATATTAGTGTTATACACCTGGAAGGCTTACTCTATAAAAGTAATCCAGCAAAAGCACAAGCTAATTAGCACCTAATAGTTAAACTTAATTAGCTTTTTGTGCTGACGAGATATGAAACCTCAAATCTAGTCTTTTCATAACTACCTGGACATGAGAACAAGATTTACTGGCAGTTTTATTCCGCAAGGCAAAGAGTAATGCAGAAAGTGCAAAGCAATCACAAGTCATCTTTTAAAGACCTATCTTCAGTAAACTTAAATCTGACTGGCTGTTATGGGTCATTGTACATCATCAGTTATTTCTACACTGCTATACTGAGTACATTGCAAGAACCAGGGATAAAGGCAATTGATGCAAAACCTATCAATGTCTTTATAGAATAATCTATATTAACATTTTTTTTACTGATACACCCCTAAAAGTCTGGAGCCCATGAGCAGGAAGATGTACCTGAGAACTGCATTGTATGCATTACTGCAGTGTCACACACATTCCCTCCCCCAACACACATACACGCCACATTTTGTACTTAACACTTTGCACTGCTTTATTGAATGAGTCTGAAGAAGTACATCAATATATCAGCCATGCATATTAACTATGCCCTTTCCTATATCATACCTATAAAACAGTGCTGCACGACATACCAATTATAATTTTATACTTGGCTTACACTCAAGCTTGAAAAAACCATGCATCTGGGTTTCAGCACTTTTCGAGTTTGGACAGCTCCCTGGCTCCACAATGAAACCCTTGCAAAGTCTTTCAGCACCATTCCTTCCTGTACCTACTTATGTCAGTCTTCTACACTGCAGGAATAAAAGTATGAATAATAACTGCCATTATTGAATTAGCAGTGATTTTCGTTTAATTAGATTATGTACTGAAAAGATCATGTTAGCTGTGGCCACATTGAGAATAGCTCTGTAGCAAGCTCTCCAGCCCTGTAATGGTGACAAAGAATACACAAATAATGGTGGAATTAGATTTCACTGCCTAGGCTATAACCAAGTCTTTATATTCTTTTGAAAGACAGGAGCCTGTGATAATAGGTATATGATTTAAAAATGTAACCTTTGGCACAGCTACTCTACTAAAACATAGGTATTCTGGGCATTGCTATGGAAGGCATTTTAACTCTGTAGAAATACGATAGCCTGACTAAACTATATAGGTCAGAAAGAAGGGAATCAAATCTCTTACATTGTCCCCTCTGTTTGATAATATATATTAGAATCAGACAAGGATACCAACCTTTTTGAGTAATCCCATACAGCACACTGGGGGCTTGAAGTACCCTGTTAAACAAGGAGGCACTTTGTAATAAAATTCAGTTGAGAAGATGCAGATACAATTCACTGTCTATAGCTGGAGATTTAAAATGCACCTATTAACTCCAAGAAATATGGCACTGTCTTAGAATGCAATAAAAAAATTCTGCAAAATATAAATTACTTATGTTGGCCTCTCAAAAGATCTAATATTAACAACCTACCGTTTGATATGTTAAAAATGAAATGTTTACCAAGAATGGTTATTTCTTATGCCTAAATCTCTCACACAATAACACATACAGATTTTAACATTTCGGCTCAGTAGCCACCTCAGAAGCCTTTATAAGCATACAAAAAGAAAACATGTACTGAATACTATATCAAAAAGCTCTTTAATCTGAGTTACAATTAAAGAGCATAACATTTTTGCTTCCCAAACAGGGGCATGCCTTTCTTTCAGAGATCGGAAAAGGTATTTCTTGCAAAGATTGCCAAGTCATCAAAACCAACTTTTGTTCCCAATTGGGACAGTTTTATTTTTCTTCTCCCCCATGCATGGTGAAAGGATCCAATCTCAATTGTTTGCAGTTTGACTGCACAATTGAAGTTTGAGACCAACAAATCAATAACGTTTTATAACTAAATGCTAGAGGCTATGAGTACCAGTAAAAAGAAGAACTAGACAAAGTGCTTATACTCTTTATACTACTTACATTGATAATATGCGATAATTCCACCACTACTTGCTGGTCTGGAGGTTTAGTAAGAGGCCGGATGGTGACAGTCAAAACCTTTGAACTGACAGCCAGTGAATTCCCTGGAGGAGGCAAGATGAGCCCTAGGGTGCGGTATAGCACTGCACCTATGACAAAATATGTTGAGTCCTCCGTCTCTGCAGTCCAAGAGAAATAATAATAACAGGCTTAAACATCTTCTGTTTTACTGTTCTGATATATGACAAATGCAAAACGAAAAGTTGAGTTGTGCACCATAGGAACAAATTGTATTTCTTATTTATATTCTCAGCGTGGGTCTGAGAATGAAAGTCAAAGACTGATTTATTGCTATGGGCAACAATCCAACAATCCTATTTCCATTTGCAAACAGTTTTCACGAATCAGGTGTTTTCCTATTCTTACAACACTTTGTAGCAGCCCACACAGCATTAAAACAATTGTTGATCTAGGTCATCTATATGCAGCAGCCATTTCAAAGTTGGATCTTCAGCTTTACAGCTTTTCAAAACACAGACAATTACAAGTGTTTACACAATAGACCAAAAAACAAAACTGTGTAAAAACACCTGATGCCACAACTACCAACCAGCTGTGTTCTTATGCTTTCTAAGTTAACTTTGATATAGTGTTCCCCATAACACCTCATTACCCTCCTGATTAAATGTGTAAACAGACCTCAGAATGGGACTTTTCCCCCAATTCATGTTGCCATGGTTTGTCCACAGTCAGGCAATGTCTAAAAACCTTTTGGAAATTGAGACTTGCACAAGAAGACTGTTAGCTCAACTCAATTCCTTGCATTGTCCACAGGCTCCCAACAAGCTATAAATAGCATCCAGTTGTGGGCAGGTTGTGACAGCATAAACTTATGAATAACTTGATGTGATGTCCATAGTGACATTACACATTCTATGAGGTGGCAGGGGAGTCATATATATACTGTATATATAGTGTGTATATATATATATATATATATATATA